ACAAAATCGCTGCGAAGTGGAACAAAAGAAATGAGTGCTGCATCTTTATATATATATATTATCTAAAAGATTTTCTTTGAGGTGACAATGCCAGGATGTTGGGTCGAGACCTTACAGCCTGTGCCTGTTAAGAGTATGAAGTGATGTGTTTTGGGCAGCTGCTCTTCCGATTGCAAACCGTTCGCTGTTGATATTGTTGAAGACTCAGAGTCCTTGGGCCTTTTTTTGACAAGAGTTGAACCATGTTTGAACCTGCTGAATGCTGAGGAAGACAGACAAAAACTGAAGAGAAATGAAAATGGAACACACTGAAAAACCTATGAGCAGAAAGGGAGAAAGGAAGGAAATAAGGAAGGTCTAAAGTCGAAAGACAAACGACACTGACAAGAAGAAACATGAATAAATTGCTTATACAGAATAAAGAAGAAGCTACTAGGGGCTCCTGGCCGTACTACTAGGGGCTCCTGGCATCGCTAGGAGCAAGCACAACATCGTTTCCATTCATTTGACACCCCTGAGGGGCCGCCTCGCATTGTCTTGCTACGTGCAAGGCCTTGCAGGGCACGTTCTACAGCACGTGCACAGCAACAGATGTCCGTTTGATCAGCAGTTGTGTTGTGCTGCGGCGAACTCCCAGCATCACATTGTTTGGCTATGTGATAAGTCTTGCCTGGCAGGCCATGCACACGCCAAGCAAACTTGTGGCACAAAGCCGCAACTTGAAGGCAAATGAATGCAGTATTCAGTATTGTTTCATCGGTTTTTGTGCCAAACCGTTTGGTGCTTGAGGCTGAGGTTGCTCAGCGCGTCGTTCGACGTAGTTACGGGAAACCACAAAGGGTGAGGCAGAGGGTTGCGAAATTGCCGTGAATCAGAGGACAAAGGGAAATTCCAGTGAGATGGAAAATCAACGAATCCTCAGTGGGTCACTGGTGAATAATATATACATATATACACATTGCAAAGAACATTCCCTTAAAACCGCACCAAGCTAAACAGAAACACCAAGCCATTCCAGGGTCCTAGTGATCAACAAGCTCAGAGAGTGAGTCCCGGGATCGGTAAAGAGCTTTCAAACCGAGGGATTTTTCTTGCACAGCGATTTCTTAAGGAGATTTTGTGTAATTCATCAAGCTGCAGCTGCTGTTCAACAGCTAAGAAAAGCTGAAGGGCAAATTCACCAAACATGAGGATGGGCTATTGCTTTCACAATGCGTGCCATCATGCTAACAGGACTAGGCTGCGACACTCCCTGCATGCTCAGTTCTTTTTCTCAACTGTGACTCAGAGAGCTTGGGCAAACTTTTCGCCTTATTGGTGGGCACCCGCCTGCATCCCTGCTGCGCAGTTTCGCAGATAGGTTTTGGTGAAATACAGGTGTGGCTCTACGTGGGTGATGTTTGCAAACGTTCTCAGATTTCTGTGTGCAGCTTACCACTAGGAGCAAGGACGCCACGAACGGGGCTCCTGGCCGTACATGTTCAGTGGAAGGTGCTCCGCTTGATTGGGTATGCCGGGTGATGCTTCCCCTTGCCCCTTGCACTTGAACTGAGCAGGCCATCTAGAGAGTGTGCGCCAGGTGGCCGCATGAGACTCATGGAGACGCATGGAGACGCATGGAGACGCTAGAGTTGCCTAGGAGGGTGGGTTAAAGGATAAACGCTTTGGCCTTTGTGTGTGTGGGGGGCATTCAGCACACCTAGAGGGGATTAGCGTGAAGCTCTCAACAACTGACTTGTTGGATCCTGGCTCTCTTGTTTGCAACCGGGTTTGGGGGATTGCAGGTGGCTGAGGAATTGCTCGACACACGAATTAAGTCATAACAGGACACCGAACTTGGTAATCGAAGGCTGCTGGCAAGAAAATCGGAAACTCAAGCAATCTCAAGCAGTTACAACCTGATGCAAAAAGCTGCTACCTTCAGAGAATTTGGGAGTCGCTATGGGCAATAGGGGCAGGTTTGGTGAGACAAGGTTGTAGCTGCATAAATTGAGAGCAGCAGGCAAGAGAGGGTGGGTGCTGGACAACAAGTAGTAACGTTCTTGCTTCGTGCCAGCCGTTCTGACTCTTTCTCCCACCTCGACAGCCAAGGCTCTCAGTGAGCTGCGAGGAGGCCGTTTGAGTTGTGTAGGCCTGGGTGGGATTTGGGGTTTGGTGTGCTGGAAGAAAAAAATAAAAGCAAGGCTAACCTACTAGCAATTCCTACTAGCAATTAATAGCGATGGCCTCCAACCTACTAGCGATGGCCCCAACCTAGTAGCGATGGCCTCCAACCTACTAGCTCTGACATCCAACCTACTAGCTATGACCTCCAACCTACTAACGATGGCCTCAAAATCTAGAAGCGATGGCCTCCAAGATACTAGCGAGGGCCTCCAACCTAGAAACGATGGCCTCCAACCTAGAAGCGATGGCCTCCAAGCTACTAGCGATGGCCTCCAACCTAGAAACGATGGCCTCCAAG